TCGCGCCTATGTAGGTATATTTCCCATGGATTTTATTTTTAAAGTTAGAATGTAATGCATGTAAAAACAATAAAGTAGATTTTTAAAAAATATTAGAAATCATAAAAATACAAAATCTATACGGGTGATCCTCCGCAAGCACACAATTTAATGTCTCTAGTACTTTTTAAGAAATTAATTGAGCATAATGCAATGAATTCAACGAGAAAAACTAATTTCTATGTTCAAAAAGAAAAGCCAATAGTCATTTTCATTTAAAATTTTTTAACTACTTGCATATAGGGAATCACACACAGAAAAAAACTAAACTCAGAATGTGCCTTCTACTCTCTAAATCTGAATTAGTAAAAATGTTTACTAATTCACAGTTTTCCTAAAAGTATCAAATTGAGACCAAAAATTGCATCAAATCTTTGCAACGTTTTGATGCACATAAGTTATATCAAAAAGAGATCGTTTTGTGTATCATTTTTAAAAATGATACACGAAACGGTCTCATTTTTTGATGCAAAAAATTTAATCAATTTATATCAATCATGGCCGAATTGAATCGACTCAAAATTAAACGAATTTTTTTCAGATATTTTGGCAATAGTACGATTGCGGAGACCATTTCACTATTTAATTTGAAAATGAAAATAACAGAAAATCAAAGACAATGTGCAATTCGATAATTAAAAAGTGACAGCTTATAAACATAACCTGAAATGCATGAGAAAAAATTTGTCGATAAAATCAATATAGCCGAGCTTTTTAGAAGGTAGATGGCAGCACTCATCTATTCTCTTTCTTTAAATTTTTTCAGAATCCTTTTTATAAAAAGCAAAACTGCCATCTACCTTCTAAAAAGCTCGGCTATATTGATTTTATCGACAAATTTTTTCTCATGCATTTTAGGTTATGTTTATAAGCTGTCACTTTTTAATTATCGAATTGCACATTGTCTTTGATTATCTGTTATTTTCATTTTCAAATTAAATAATGAAATGGTCTCCGCAATTGTACTATTACCAAAATATCTGAAAAAAATTCGTTTAATTTTGAGTCGATTCAATTCGGCCATGATTGATATAAATTGATTAAATTTTTTGCATCAAAAAATGAGACCGTTTCGTGTATCATTTCTAAAAATGATACACAAAGCGATCTCTTTTTGATATAACTTATGTGCGTCAAAACGTTGCAATAGAAAAAGATACAACCAAGTTTACTGTGTTTGAATTAGTGACTCACTTTTTGCTTCTGAATTAGTAAAATTTTACTAATTATTAGTAACTTTTACTAACAATTAGTAAAATTTAACTTATTCTAAAGCAAAAAGTGAGTCACTAATTTAAATTAGTAAAAATTTTTACTAATTTAGATTTAGAGAGTAGGCGGCTCATTTTAAGTTGCAACAAAAATGAGACTAGGTTTTTTCTGTGCGCAGAATCGTCTTGGTGCGGCCTTCATATATTTCGCAAAAAAATTAATAATTATTTATATTTTACGTCAACTAAAGTGTAGTAGTATTGGTTCAGTGAAAATAAATGACTTGAATATGAAACAAAATGAAAATCGCTAATAAATTGTTTGAAAAATCAGTTTTTCTTATGCGTCATGGTATGGTCTTAGCGTCTTCATTAAAACGTGTGTGTTATTCAGTGGGAATAAAATTATGAATATTTTGTCCGTCCCACCACGGATATTTCATTCATGACCACTAACCTTGAAGATTATAATTTAATTTTTGTTAAATTGTAAAAAAAAAAATTTTTTAATAATAGCAAATAACTAAATTGTGCGCTACGCGGACAATCATCCATACATAATACAATAAATATAAATTGCACGAATATTTTCTGAAAATTGAAATGGAATTTTAGAGAGAATAAATACATTGTTTAATATGTAATTATATTAAAATTTGAAAACTATATTCGTGTTCTAATTTCAGAAATATTTTCCGAATACCATAATAATTAATATTTCAAAATACCAGTGAAATGTTAATATAATATTATTCAATTCTGTGGTTCGTATTAAGGAAAAAGTTTTTTTTTTAAAGTATGTATTGCATAAAAAATTAAGTTTAAATTCATACAATAATTTTAAAAAATTTTAAATAATTAAAAACATTTTTCCTTAATAGGTATATGCACGTTATTTTACTTCCACGTGGCTCAAAAGCTAGTAATATATAAACATAATAACTTGTTGCTTATGTTTATTAAAATTTATGCATCCTCATAGAAAAAAATTATTTTTAATACAATATTCTTCATTTAGGTACTCATAAATCATTTAATTAATTTCTAATTATTTAGTATGAGAAAGTAAAAAAAAATTTAATTCTTTTACAGCATGTGATTGTTAGTTTGCGTGATATATTGCAGCAATGTCAACTTTTCGACCACTTTTCGCGTAAAATACTGAATGGATTAAGATGATATTTTATAGAAAAGTTTAAATTATGATGATGAAGGGCTGTGATTTGCAATCATCACAACTAAATCCGTACAAAATTATAGAAGAAAATTGGTCGAATAATTAACATTGTGGAGATCACGTGACCTAACAATCACATGCTGTTAAAGAATAAAAATTTTGCAAATTTATAGAAAAAAAATCAAAAATTTAAATTTTTTCAAAAACAAAAAATTGCTATTAATTTTACAAATTTATATTAAAATATGTATTCAAAATATTCAAATACTTAAATAAATTCTTATTTCAAGCTAAAATAGTATTTACATCGAAAAGTTTTCCAAAAATTACAAATTTCAAAATAGTGATAAAAAAATGAAAAATAAACAATTTAAATTTTAAAATCTCTCCATACAATAATTCTTGATTGTATGTGATTGTTAGGTCCGTTGTTAATTAATTAATTAATTTTTGCATTTACCCCACCTAGCCCTAATCTATATTTTTGGAAAATTGTCGAGACTTCAAAGATAAAGCATGCTCTATAAGGAAGCAATAAATATAATGTGAATTTTTTTTTTTGCATAAAAGTGTAACAATCCTGAAATGGGAAACCACAGAAAAAAATTGGTGTGATTTTTGGAGACGCATGAATAAGCACTAAAGTTAATTTTTTAAAATTGCGTTTTTAATAGAATTTTATTCTGTACAATATTATTTTCGCACAATGGTAATTTAAAAGAATTTTAATTTTACAAAAAATGCAAATGATCGAAAATCAATTGAACAAAACTATTTTGGTCCGATTTTTAAATTTGACCAATCAGAAATTATCACAAAAATTGTGATTGGTATAATTAAAATTCTGTACTATTGATTTCTGCAAAATTAAAATTCTTTTAAATTACTATTCTGCAAAAATAATATATTTAAAAAAATAAAATTTTATTAAATCCTAATTTTAAAAAATTAACTTTAGTGCTTATTCATGCGTCCCAATTTTTGTTGGGGGTAATTTTGTCTAATGCTAAAGCGTATATAAGGTAAATGTCCCAATTTGTGACCATGTCCCAATTTGTGTCCACTTGCACATTTATGCACGAAATAAAATAAAAAACAATTTAGAAAAATATTCAAAAAAATATTTTTTGAATATTACATTATATATCTTTCGTGTAGATTTGCATTTATGGTCTTAGTATTCTTTAATAATTATAAATTAAATTTTGAAAATTTGCACTGCCGCCCTCTCTGCCAAAACGAGGAAAGTATGACGCCATCTTATAAAGGTTGTCATTAGACAGGTTAACAGAATGTTGTTAGCACAGGATAATTAACGTCTAATATTGAATTAAATTGTTAAATAAATAATTCAAAATAATATAGTTTTACTGTTTGGAGGTTTTTGTTCATGCAAAGGTAAGTTAATTTTTATGTATACCTAAAAATACAAATACGTACACTAAAATGAGAATGATCCTATTTGTGTTTACATACAATAACACAACTTTAATTAAAGAAATTATTACATTTTTCTGAAAAATACTTCATTTATTAATTCTATAACTCTTAATTTTGAAAATTATTGTGAGAGTTTTTATATTTTAACCTAAAATTATTTAAATATGTGAAAAATGTGACAGTGTAAGAACATCGAGTATTTTTTAAAGACACTAATTAGGACAAAGCATATTTTTATGTTTGTGTACCAAATAGTGAACATCTATTTCCTTTAGTTACCCGAGGCGAAATTTGAATCCTCTTTAGCTTCCCTTAGAACCTAAATAGGCCCTCTTTACGATCTTGTAGACTCTTGTAGGCCCTCCATTGAATCCAAACGTGGAAGAAAGGTAAATTTGCGACTAGTTGAGAAAGCTAAAGAGGGTCTAGTTCGATTAAAAAAGTACAAAAAAATGCAAAAAAAAACTCTTTTAATTATTTTGATTATAGCAAAATGAATTAGAGCAATTTCAAAATTTTCAATATTTTAATCAATTTTTAGACCCTACTTTAAATCCAAACGTGGAAGAAAGGGAAATTTGCGACTAGTTGAGGAAGCTAAAGAGGGTCTGTTTAACTCTACTTTACTCCTTGTAAATTAGGGCTTAAATTTCGCCTCGGGTACTTATTTATTTACTCAGACTGTGAAATACACTAATTTAATTTATCACATTAATATTCCATATTTAGTATTAATTTAAGTATTATAAAATTATTAAAAGAATGAAATAACAATTACTTTTATATTTTGCATTTCTTGACACAAATATGGCTGCTGAGTACTAATTGATACACCTCAGGTCACAAATAGGGGCAACCTAAAATTCGTCGGACACAAATTGGTACAATAACATCACTTTAAAAAAAAAGAAAATTTAAAATATTTTGATAATAATACTCAAATAAAAATTATTTTCTGCTCAAGAAATGATTACCTTTATATTAATGTGAAAAATTATCTCCATGGAAAAATATAAATCGAGTTTTTTCTTTATTAACTAAAGTTAAATTCTTAGTAGGACACTAATTGGGACATTTACCTTAATAAAACTTTGTTTTTTTAAAAGTAATGAAAGAAAAATAAAGAAACAAACCTGGGCCATGTATAAACACCGGAGACCTCGAATCCGTAGTGCCAGCTTCCGGAATAGGCTCCTTGACCTTTGGGACCAGTGCAAACGCCGTGACCATGAGCTTTGCCGTCCTCCCAACCACCGCAGAAGGTGCCGCCGTCGTCGAAGTCGAATCTGCCACCGTTGACTTGTGCCCTGTTGGGGCCCATTGCCGTGGCGGTTCCCGTTGCCCCGGCTTGACCGGGGCTGCTCATTCCGACCGCTTGGGGCAATTGGGCCCCGCCGGCAACGCCATTTGGCGCGCCTGACGGTTGCTGCTGGCCATGGGGCTGTTGCTGCATTTTCTAATCGCTCGATCGCACGGAGCAGCAATCCGTTTCGAGCGCCTTTCGTCCACTCTGCCGTGCGTCTCGTTGTTCTGCTCGTCAGCAGCGCCCGGTATTGCCCGGACGCTTTTCCATTCTCCTTCCCGTTGTTCTTCGGGGCCTCACGAGCTCCGAGTTCCTAAAATATTCCACACACTATTCTTTCAATGTTCACCATATTTTTTCATTGCAAATTTTGATTTCGGTCCTCTTATTCACTATTTATAGTATACTATTTTCACCTGATTGAAAATTATAAATTCATTTTGGTTTATATTCACGGAAAAATTTTTGGTTCATCAGATGCGCAATCTACAGTAGAACTATTGTAATATGGATTAAGGGCAACTATTATCCTGATTTGGTGCTATTTAGAAGCACTGTAGGGGACATAGGTTGCACCAAACCGGGATAACTGATGTACGCTTTTAAAGTACAAAATTTTTTTTAACTAACCAGTACAACCGGTGCACCAAAATTTTTTCCGTGTTTGAGACAATTTTTTTTTGACTCATTCTCTGTTGAATTTGTTTTGTTAGATTAATTTGAGATTTTATTTTTAACATATTTTCAAAATCAAGAGAGTTTATGGAATATTTATTAAGCAGCTTACTTATTTAAAGATTTAGAGTCTTTTTTACAGATTTATCTATTGTTCTAATGTATTCTTATACAGTAAACTATGAGGTATTAAGAAGCATTGTAAATTAAATTAATATCATAATACATTAAAATAATCTATCTTTTGGATTACATTTGTTTTCAATTTTGTAAAAATAAACATTTCTAAGTTTATTTTTTGAATGATTGCAATTTTTAATGTGCCTAAAGATCTGAACGTTCAAATAAACAAAAAATTTGTTTACTCCTTTTTAATTTCAAATTTTATTATAATGTAATTGCTTTCTGTATTAAAAATAAATTAATAATTTATTAAATTTTCTTTCTTATTTTTCATTGCTGTAATTTTTAAATAATTTATAAATCAAAACAATTATTTCGTTCATTTGAACGCTCAGAACTACTGGTATACATAATTTTTAATCTTTATTTTAATCTTCGATAGATTAAAGCATTGCAACTCTCATTTTAATTCATTTTTGGTATTAAAATAATACCTCACAATTTATTGTGCTTTGACTTTGGAATAATTATTTTTGTTTTTTTAAATTTATGCACTGGAAAAAATTATTTGAATATCAAAAAAAACTGAGCCAAATAATTTTTATTTAAATCCATCAATCTTTATTGTTTACAATATATATGTCAACAATGATTTCTATAATTTTGAAAAAAATATCATTTAATTAATTAAACAATAATTATTATTTAATAAAAATAAATATTTATTTGAGAATAATGAATTATATATAAATAAAATATAATTTACTTTCAGTGTGTCAATTTTATTTTACTATAAATTTACAGTTATAATATTTATTTATAGTCACAACAGTGGAAATTTTAGTTTGTTTTCAGATTTAATGTTTATATATATTTACTTGTCGTTTCTGTTATTCTCAAATTTAATTAATTAAATGACGTAGATTTTTAGTCACCTTTTGAATTTACTTTTTATTCAAAAATATTTCAGAAATTTATTTCTAAACTGAGCTAATAGTTTCTGTATTCATTTATTTCTTTCGGTTTCACTATATATATATTATGTATATATGTTTCTTTTCTTGAATATTATGATATACTTGGTATATATACTATACGTATATTCTTTGAATCTTCCGTTTCATTCATAATTCGCAATAACGCCCCCTTATTTTTATTTTTAATCCCTGCTATACTTCAATAATCTATATCTAATTTTAAATATATTTCTATATGATATATTATTATCTAATCTAATTATAAATATACTAAATGAAAACTATATTCCCCGTTAATATTTCATTGTGATATTACATTTTAGTATATAAAAAACAATTGATAATACATTTTTAATTTATAAAAAAAAATACCTATTTGTTTTTTTGAAAAGAATATTGTTTCAATAGTATCAAAGGCTAGTTTGAAATTAACAGAAAAAAAATATTGTTATAGCTTTGCTGATGCTTTTAAATAAACTCTCATAAAAATAGGAACAAAAATATATAAAGCAAGGGCATTTTTACATTGTGGACAAGATGTCTCATCTATACTCTGTTAAAGTTCACGTAATAGCCAAACTGCAACATCTCGAGCTGATATTTTGAGACAATCCTACCGTGCTACTGGCGACATAATTTCTCGTCCGTCACCGCATGTCATCATAGTTTACTGCAAATGAAACTTTCTTTCTTATGCATTTCAAAAGCATTTCAAGAAATATTGAGCTTTTCTGAAATATTGCCTTTGGGTTCTTTTATCATCATTCCGATATTTCTTTTTTTTTTTTTTTTATTGTCACTTTTATCGTCTTTGTTTTATATACATAAATCTTCTATATGTAAAAATTTCATATCTTGTTCCTATGACACATTTTCTTTTTTAGTAAAAAAATCAATTTTTTTGATTTTAATCAAATCTAACAAAAAAGGAAAAATAAACACCTAACAATAGAATTCTCTTCACTGACATATGATCCAAACCTGAAATAATCCCTTGAACAAGAAATAGCATAAAAGCATTATCTCACTCGTTATATATTGTCAGTGATTCCTGGGTTAGACTCTCTTTCTCTCTCTCTCGTAACATTGTCAAGCCAAATTCTGGCACTTGATTTGCAATGCAGATCGCTTTGTGATACCGGCATATCCGATAATGATATAATTCCGAGATTTACCAAAAAAAAAAAAAAAAATTGACAAATCACATGAAAATGAGAAAAAGAGGATCGAAATCAAATATTTTGCCGGGTAATAACATTTTTTTTTATATCCTCTTCTGTACGCAGAGCTTTATTAGGATTTGAAACTTGTGTGTTTTTTGATCCATGTCCCTCTCCCTCCTCCCCTCCCTCGCACTTGTTAAAATACTCCCTCGCAATTTGCGTCACTGGCGTCTTATACACTTGAGCCAATGCTACTATATTTACATAAACATACGTAAATATACGTTCGAATACAATACATACGTGAGCATGACTGCTTCAGTGAAAATTTAGAATCTCGCGCAACGATTTAATGAATAATAATAATAATATATAAAAACCTCGCACTATTATAATAAAACACTTTGAAAATGATCGCTTATTATTATTATTATTCTGGACATTCGGCACTTTCGAGGGTGGTGGGGGGGCAACTTGGGGTGGGGGCCTTGCCCTTCGCGAAAAAAAATAAAACTGGCCCGTGAAATAAATATTTGCGCGAAGAGACAAGTTCGGTTACCGACTCGACTTATTTGCTTCACCGCGGTTACTCCTTCATCTAAACTACTGCGTTACGCAACGCTTCTATAAGCATCCGTGATCTGCTCGGAATGTGGCCCCACATCGACTCGACCGGCGCACGAAAGCTCGTGTATAACCACGAAAAAGCTTTCAAAGTTCGAAGACGCTTTGACGAGTTGACGATGTCCTCGTGGGGCCTCACACCTGCGCGTCTATTCATCATTCGTATAAAATGTGGATCATATCAACGCATAAACGACGAGATGAGAAAATACGTATATATACAGAAAGAAAAACGTGAGCTTTTAAATCTTGTAATGAAAGTATTTCAAGATTATGTATATATATATATGGAGCAAAATTTCTGAATTGATTTGAATAGCAAAAATGTGAACATTGAATTAAAAAAAAAATCATAACTAATGTAGAAAAGGATGAAAATAATTTTTTCTAACACACGCACCGAAAGTACACCATTTCTTACCTGTGTAGCGGGAGAAAAGTATGTCTTTTCCGACTAGCGGGAGGGAAAGTTACATTCCCTCCCGGTGACGTCACTAAGCGGAAGGGAAAGTTACATTCCCTCCAGGTGACGTCACTGAGCGGGAGGAAAAGTAACTTTCCCTCCCGGTGATGTTATTATTAGGTATTAAATATTAATCAATGTATGAGCAATAGTGAATCTCAAACGTCTGGTACACCACCAGTAGTAACTATACTGCTACCAGTAACAATCACAGTAACCATAGTATCCACACTACTACGTTTGTACTTTCGGTATACGTGTATTAGAAAAAATAGTATGTGCAACTCGAGAGGAAAATGATTTTCCTCCCTAGATGCACAATATACTATTAAAAGGTTTTCAAAAAGGTCTTTTCCTCCACTTTGAATAGTACAAATATTTTTCTAAGACATTTAAAAGGGTATAGGGGGTTAAGCATGCAAACAGTGCCCTCGCATCTAATTAATTCCAATTGACACCATATATTGTTACCCCCATGAACAAAAAATTCTGTAGGGGAGAGTGGGGCAAAACCGGGTACCTTTTTGGAATTCTAGGTTTACAAAGAATCTATCAAATAAATTAGTTCAAATCTCGTTGAAAATTCTTCCTTGAACATTAGAGAATGAGAAAATAAGGTCGATTGCATGAAAAAAAATTTTCTAATCAATTTAAACCAGGTTTTTCAAAAAAAATGCAAAGTACCCGATTTTGTCCCGATGGTGGGGCAAAACCGGGTACTATCAAGAAAATATATAAATTATGGAATATTCTTGAACTTTTTGTATATCACTTACATTATAGAAAATAATTAATATTCAATAAATTTAATCTAAATATATTATATTAATAATAATGAATAACAGCAGTTAAATATTTTGAAACGAAATTTTTCATATTTTTATTAATTTTTTATCGTTTATTGATCAATATGGTAAATAATTGATATATCGAAAGTTAAACATCGATTTCGAAACATACATGTTAAATCTTTTTGAGACAAAATTTAAATATGTATAGTGTAATGCATTTAAATATATCCGATTTTGCCCCACCGTTTGATACTGGATTTTGCCCCGCACTGCATTTTTTAACAAAATATAAAATTTTCAGCTTATTGTTAATAATTTAACAATTACTTTTATTAAAAATTACTCGTAAATAAATGCTGAAAAAGATGTTATACTTGCACGGAGAAAAAAGATTTCTTTTATAAAGTAACTTTTACTACTTTCAGAGTAAAACTGGACCAACTCGAAGTTTCTGCGCATCTCTGGCAATTTTTACTCCAAAAATAGTAAAATTTACT